CTGGATCTCCTATAGCTGGGATAAGCAAATTTTTTCTGTAAAGGGCCAGTTGGTAAATATTTTAGACTTTTTGGACAGTCTAGTAACTACTCAATTTCACAGCTAAAGTAAAAGCAGCCATACACAGCATGTAAATGAATGGATATGGCTGTGTACCAATAAAACTTTATTTATAAAAACAGTCTTCACCCAGATTTGGCCCTAGGGGCCATAGTTTATCAAACTCTTTGCGACATGGTATTAAGAGGATGGTTGGCAAACACTGGCAATTCACTCAACCTGAGATTTTATTTACTCCTTTATTATGGGATAATATTTCTCACCATATAGAATTATGAAAAGTATCTTAAGATAGTATACTCAGTGTACCTGGCACATATGAGGCACTCAATAAATACTGATTACTGAGTTCAGTCTGGGCAAGAAATATAAAAGATAAGCCTAGGACATCGCATTTCACGCCAGAAAGCAGAGAAACTCTTAAGGGCTACCGGAGCACATAAAATATACACACACATTTTGGCCCTCTGGCAAAAATGAAGCATTTTGATCATCAAAAAGAGTAACAACTGAAAGACAGCAACTGGGACTATGGGTTCTGGCCATGACAGAATTAAAGGTATTGAACTTACCTTTCTACCATAAATAACTATAAAATTAGACAAAATACATGAAGCTGAGACATTGAACAACAGATAGCAAAGTCTGTGATTCTTGAAAGTAAGAAGTATGACAATGATAGTAAAAATGATGAGAGTTTAAATGAAACTATAATTGTAAGGTTCTTTCATTATTTGTGACATGGTAAAATAATAATTTAAAGTATACTGTGATAAACTTAGCATGCATACTATAATCTCTAGAGAAACCACTAAAAAAAAGATAATAATTAGGACTAAATAGTTAATAGGAGAGATAAAAGGGAATATTAAAAAATAATCTTGCTAGGCACAATGGCTCACACCTGTAATCCAGCACTTTTGGAGGCAGAGGCGAGAGGATTGCCTGAGCCCAGGAGTTCAAGACCAGCCTGGGCAACTTGGTGAGACCTCCTCTCTATAATAAACCAAAAAGTTAGCCAGGCATGGTGGCGCACACCTGTAGTTCCAGCTACTTGGGAGGTTGAGACAGAAGGATTGCCTGAGCCCAGCAGGTCGAGGCTACGGTAGCCATGAGTGTGTCACTGCATTCTAGCCTGGGCAACAGAGTGAGACTCTGACTCAAAATAAAATAAAATAATAAAAAATAATCAAATTCACCACTATACAATGCAGCCATGTAACCAAGAACTACTTCTACCCTCTAAAGCTATTGAAATAAAGAAAAATAAAATAAAAATAAATAGCACATGGAAAAGGAGAGGGAAAAACAGATAAACAAATAGAAAACAAATAACAGATGGTAAACATAAACCCAACAGTAGAATGAGATTAAGTATAAATGGAATAGGCCGGGCTCAGTGGTTCAGCCTGTAATCCCAGCACTTTGGGAGGCTGAGGCGAGTGGATTGCCTGAGCTTGCGGGTTCAAGACCTGCCTGGGCAACTTGGTGAGACCTTGTCTCTACAATAAATTTAAAAAAATCAGCCGGGCATGGTAGCGCGCACCTGTAGTTCCGGCTACTTGGAAGGCTGAGGCAGAAGGATCGCTGGAGCCCAGCAGGTTGAGGCTGCGATGGCCGGGAGTGTGCCACCGCACTCCAGTCTGGGTGACAGAGTGAAACTCCAACTCAAAAATAAATAAATAAATAAATGAAATAAACTCCCCAATTAATTGATAAAAGTGGTCAAACAATGAAAAAACAAGTGCCTTCATATACTGTTTACAAGAAATAGATTAATAATCTGATATCTTAAATCACTAATTCAACTTTATTATCACTAGAAGTAAAACAACCAGACATCATGTACCGATTGATAGGCAGTACACAGCACCACCTACAAAATATTTTCACCAAAAAAATGGACCCTGAATATAAGTAAGCCTCAAGAGTTAACTACCAGTTTACAAGAATACAAAGGATAGGGAAATATGTTCAAAACATCAGAAAGATGCACTCAATCAAAGGCAGAATGTAGAAAATTCTCCAGGACAAGTGACGTGGCTTATTTCACAAATAAATGGTAAGGAGGGTAAGAGGGAATAGGAATTAATACAGGTGAAAAGAGTCTTAAGAGATAGCAACAAAATGCAATGTATGGACCTTGTTTAGACCCTGATTCAAGCCAACTAATTATATTAAAAAAATTTAAGATAACTGAACATAGACTGGAAGTTAAATGACATTAAAGAATTACTGTGGGCCAGGCATAGTGGTTCATACCTGTAATTCCCAGCACTTTGGGAGACCAAAGTGGGAGGATAACTTGAGGTCTACAGTTCAAGATCAGCCTGGGCAACATAGAAAGACCACATCTCAACCAATTAAGAGATACAAGTAAAATGGTATGTCTGATATTCACTTTAAAATAATTTATCCTGGCAGGGCATGGTGCCACCTCAAGCCTGTAATCCCAGCACTTTGGAAGATTGAGGTGGGAGGATCGCTTGGAGTTCAAGACCAGCCTGGGTGGGCAACACAGCAAGACCTCGTCTCTAGAAAAAATTAAAAAGTTAGCCAGGCATGGTGGCACATGTCTGTAATCCCAGTTACTTGGGAGGCTAAGGGGAGTAGATCCCTTCAACCCAGGCTATGGTAAACAACAGAGTCTGGGTGACTGAGCAAGGTGAGACCCTGACCAAAAAAAAAAA